ATTTTCAAAGAAGACCCATGTGAGGAGAAAAACCCTAGTTAAGGGAGATTTTAGAAATCATCTTTTTGGGGGACCTCATGGGGAAAAGAATCCCAACAGTTAAAGAAATCATACATTAAATATGAATAACCACAAAATTGAGTAGCAACTTGAAGAATTTGGTCTTCTTCTTCAACCTTCAAAGCTTCTTCAATGTAGGATGAGTAGAGAGAGAATGTATAAAGAAGGCATAGCTTTCGGAATATTTTGGGCTTTAGATTTGAGTGAGTGATTGTGAGGGAAAACAAAAGGAAAATAAATGTATAATTCTTCCCTAAAATACCAAAATACCCCTCACTGAACTTGACCAATTAATGAAGTCAAACTCAAATTCTGATTTTAGATTTTCGTTGGGAAACAAGTCTGCGTCGCGGAGCTGTTCCCGCAAAATTACAAAAAAAAAAATTTAACCAGAAGAGTCTGTAATATGTCCGCATCGCAGACTAAAGTTTTGGCGTTGGATTTGCCAAGTCCGCGACGCAGACTGGCTCGGTCCATGCATAAAAGTTGCTGCCTCTTTGCAGCTTGCTTAGGCAAAACTGGGGTTCCTTCGTGTACCCTCGGGCGATCCTCGGGGGTCATATCTGGACATTTTAAACTTACTAACATAATTTTACCTATTTGAATTCTATTTAAAACTGTTAGACTTCATACAACACTCTCAAAGCCTCCCAATACCTAAGGATATTCACTAATAAATTAAACTAGTTTCCGGATGTCATGGTCGGTTCTTAGCGTTTTGGTTCTAACTCTTCATAGACATATCTATTAAACTTATAGGTATAAAATCATCATTAGTCATTTTGTGAAGCTTTATTCTAGGTCATATAATTTACAGGGTGTGTCAATACTCCCCCCTTTAGAACATTCATCTCCGAATGACACCTTTAGACCTTTATAGGAAGAAGAAACTCAAGACTAGCAACCCAACCAACGACAATATATATCAAATGATCCAGAGATCATCTCCTTTAAACATATAATTATAGCATTAACTCATAGGAACTTAATCCACAACATATCACATACATAAGCTCAACTTTCCATACCATATAAGAAGGGACTACCTTATTAATTTAAATATGAACTCCATATGAAAATCAAGAGTTGTCATGTAGATTTCTATTAAAACAACACAAATTATGCTCAATAGAACTTGATGAATACTTATAGCACACACATACTTAAGTGAAAGACAACCATAAGAATTCAACTTAAGCATGAATTTCTACATTAATATTATTCATAAGAAAACATGATAAGTCTAATATTATTCATAATAATTCCAATATTATTCATAATAATCATATAGGGAACTATTAAACTGAGTCTCAGCTTGGATTTAGAGCGAAAAATGTAAGGATAACGCAACTTCATATCGACCTTGGCCTCCCATGTAGCTCCCACAACAAGGTGGTTCCTCCATAGAACTTTTACGGAGATAACCTCTTTATTCCTCATTTTCATTAATTGATGGTACAAGATCTAAAGCGGGTCCCCTATGAAACGTCCCCTAAATCATAAGAAACGTCCTTTTTTACCCCTAAATCTTCTAGAGGAAGAATGGGAATTGGGTCCCCTATGCACTTCTTAAGAGTAGAAGCATGGAATAGAGGGTGAATAATGGACAACTCATTGCGCAATATTAACTCATACACCACACTCCAGACTTGATTCAAAATTTCATACAAACCACATAGCGGGTACTAAATCATGGAATAGCGGGTGAATAACGGAAAACTCATTGCGCAATATTAACTCATACACCACACTCCAGACTTGATTCAAAATTTCATACAAACCACATAGCGGGTACTAAGTTTCCCCTTCTTTCAAAATATCATCACCCCTTTTTGGGGAAAACTTTCAAATAGACCCAATCTCCTACATCAAATTCAAGGTCCCTCTTTCTATTGTCGGATTAAGATTTTTGATTACTTTGAGTTGTTTTTGGTGTATCCCGTATAATCTGAACCTTCTCAAGGAATTCATAAACTAATTAGGGACCAAGAAGATAATACCCACCAATCTCATACCATCAAACCAGGAATCTACACCTCCTCCCGTAGAGTTCCTGGATAGGTACCATGGAGATACTCGAATGATAGCTATTGCTTTAGGAGAATTATATTAAAGGTAGGTGGTAATCCCAATTATCTTTGAAGTCGATGACCCACTCCCTTAACATATCTTCTAGAGTTTGGATAGTGTGTTCCGCTTGACCATGCGTCTTGGGATGAAAGGAGGTACTAAGCTTCACTTTCGTATGAATCCCACTTCTGTAAGTCTTCGCCTCTATCCGAAAGGATTAATAAAGGGTCTCTATGTAGCTTCACTATTTCTTTGAGGAACAATTGGGCATAATTTGTTGTCGAATAAGTGACTTTGATGGGAAGAACATATGCCGACTTGGTCAATCTATCCACAATAACCCACATCGAGTCGTGTTGCCTTCGGGTTCGAGGCAACCAACTTGTGAAGTCAATTTTAATTTCCTCCCACTTCCATGTGGAAATATCTATATTTTGAGTTGAATCACCAAACCTTTGATGCTCCACTTTGTCTTGTTTGAAATTTGGGCATATAGTAACAAAATAAGTCATGTCCCTTTTCATACCATTCCACCAATAAGTTTCATGTAAGTTGCAACAAATCTTTTTGCCACCCAGGTGAATGGAATATTGGGATCCATGATTCTCTTCATTAATTAATTCCCTCAAGCCATCCACATCCGGTACACATAATCTTTCTTGGTGCCTAAGCACCCCAACTTCTCCTTGAGAGAAGCACTCATTAGATTTACTAAAAACCATTTCCTTCAAATACATCAACACAGGATCAAGGTGTTGCTTAGATTTTACCCCAAAAACATCAGACGACTCAGAGTTGTTGCGAACCGTGAAACCACCTTTTGGAGAGTCTTATATTCGAATAACCAAATGAATCAACCTACAAACCTCTTTCACTAGCTCTGTGTTATCATCAAACACGTGAGTCATACTACCCATCGATACTCTACTTAAGGCATATATGCCACCATATTATCTTTCCCGGGATGGTAAAGGACACTCTTGTCATAGTCCTTTAAAAGTTCTAAACATATTCTTTGGCGTAGATTCATGTATTTTTGAGTAGATAATTATTGTAGACTTTTGTGATTGGTAAAGACGTCAACATGTACCCCAAGAGATAGTGTCTCCAATTTTTAAAGGCAAATACCATGACGCAAGCTCAAGGTCATGAGTTTTATTATTTTTATAATGTGGCTTGAGTTTCCTAGAGGCATAAATTATAACCTTACCGTGTGGCATAAAAATACATCCTAGACCCACTCAGGTTGCATCCTAATAAACCAGAAAACATTTATTTCCCTATAATAAGGCTAACACTGGAGTGGAGGTGAGTCTATATTTCAATAATTAGAATCTCTCTACACAAAATTCTTACCATTCAAACTTGGGACTTATTTTGGGTTAAGGTCATTAATGGAGATGTAATAGATGAAAATCCCTCAAAAACCTCTTATAGTAATCAGAAAACCCTAGAAAACTTCTTATGTCGGTGGGATTCAAAAGTCTAGTACAACTTTTGACCACATCCATCTTCCTCGGATCGACCTCAACCCCTTCACAAGAGATAATGTGACCAAGAAAAGTAATTGACCTAAACCAAAATTCACATTTACTTAATTCAGTGAAAAGTTGGTTATCCTTGAGAACTTGAAAAACTATTATCAAATGACTCATATGATCATCCTTACTCCTCGAGTATATCAAAATATCATCAATAAAGACAATCACAAACAAACCAAGATACTTTCTAAAAACTTGATTCATAAGGTCCATGAAAGTTGTCGAGGCATTTGTTAGACCAAATGACAAAACTAGGAATTCAAAGTGACCTTGTCTTATTCGGAATGTCCTTTTCTAAATATTAACCTACCTCACTCTAAGTTGGTGTTAGCCCAATCTCTATTCAATCTTTGAAAAGTAACTCGCTTCTTAGAGTTGATCAAACAATTCATCAATTCTAGGAAAAGCGAACTTATTCTTTATGGTGACTTTATTCTATTGATGATAGTCGATACACATTCTCAAAGAACCATCCTACTTCTTCACAAACAATATCGTACACCCCATGGAGGCTTGTTTGAATAAAACCCTTATCTAGCAAATCCTGAGTTGAGCCTTTAGTTCTTTCAACTCAATCGGGACCATCCGATAAGGAGGAAGTGAAATAGGTTGTGTATCTAGCAGTAAATCTATGTCAAAGTCAATCTCCCGTTCAAGAGGAATTCAGGAAAGATCATCAGGAAAGACCTATAGAAGTTCCTTAACTACAGGTACCGACTCTATGAGATGGACCTCAGATTCAAGATCCCTAACTCTTACTATGTGATAGAGACAACCCTTTGTAATCAACTTGCATTCTTTTAGACACGAAAATGATCTTAACCCTAGGATTTCAGTTTCAACCTCTCCACTAAAAAATGGGATCATTTGAAAATTGAAATTTGACTACCCTTAACCTACAATCAATAGAGGAAAAGATAGAACGGAACAAATCCATTCCAAATATGACATTAAAATCTAGCATATCAAGTTCTATCAAGTAAAATAATGTAACTCTATTAGTCAAGGAAATAGGAAAACCTTTACAGACTCTTTTATCCACCACAGAATCACCCACCGGGGTAGAAACCGAAAAAGGTTCATTTGATATGTCGGTTATTTCAAATTTCATGGTTATAATAGGGGTGACAAATGACGACATAGCTCCCGGATCCAACAAAGCATACACATCAAAGTATATAATTATAACATACCGTTAACTACGTCAGGTGAGCTCCGTTGATCACTTCAGGATGGGAGAGTACAAAAGTGATTCTTCTTAGGAGCATCCAAATATAGGGCACTAGCTTGTGCTTGAGAATTTTCCCTTCTTTTACCCTATATCATAGGTCAATATCTCTTGATGTGACCACTCTTTCCATATCCATAGCAATTACACATGACAATTAGGAACTTACAATCACGTCTCTTGTCATAGTTTGCACAAAGAGGCTTATCAACATAAAATCTACCACCTTTCCCCTCTTTGATTCTCACCTTTTTCAACTCTCTACCAACTTTCTTAAGCTTTTGCTCCTCAATTTGTTCGGCATGAAGCATGAGACGATAAATTTCCATGCTAGGAATCAACATATCCGACCTACACTCATTAACCACAAGATAAAATATCCCTATGAAACATTTGTTCATCTTAGCTCTAGAATCCGCAACCATAGTAGGAGCATGTTTTGATAGTTGAGTGCATTTGAGACTATACTCCTTCACGATCATACCCCTTAGGATATGGTTGATGAATTCTTCCATGTTTCTCTCCCTTAATTCCAAGGGAAATAACCTATCAAGGGAAGTCGTCTTGAAAGCTCCCCAAGTAATTTGTCCAGCTATACTCAACCTCTCATCATTCTCTTGCTCATACCTAACCTGAGCCACATCTTTGAGTTGGTAGGCAGCTAGTTCCATCTTTTCTTGAGAAGAAACACCCATAGAACCAAGAACTTTTAACACTTCATCAATGAACTTTTGTGGGTCCATCTCCAACTTGGAACAATAGAAAGTAGGGGGATTCATACTTGTGAAATCCCTAATACTTGATGCGGTGGTGTTAGAATTGGGGTTAACTTGCACCCTTGCATCCCTAAAAACTTGGTTAGACAACACTTGAGTCAAGGTATGAATGGCCAACCTTATCTCCACATTATACATAGCCTCTTCTTAGATAGGAACTTGAGGGCGTTGAGGAGCTTGACGGGGAAACACCTCGTTCAGATTCACCTCTTCGGTCCTTTGAGAGTTGTTCAATCTTTTATTCATTGCCTATAAGAACAACAAAGAGGTTATAAGAAAAGCAATAAATAGAGGTATGACTTTTAGGCACGACTAAGGAATAAAAAGAGAGTGAAAGTTTCTAAGCATCACATAGTCTCTCATTCATGAGTGTGGCTCGCTTCATATTTATGAATAAGAATCTACATAGATGTAGTTTAGTGAGATATCAACCCTAATATTAATCAAGCTCATGCTCTGATACTACGTTTATTACGACCCAAGGTATCCCTTAGGCGTAACCAGCGTCTTTGTCCTCGAAGAGGATTTAGACAAGCCTCTTAACATTCGTCATAACATATCATAGGTCAAAAACAAGGAAAAATTAAAATTTTCACTTATATATATGTATACAAAGTGAGGTTTACTATACCTCTCACATACTACTTATGTAGTTTACATGGACTACTCATATAGGAAGCTTACTTAGTCTTCTTGCGTAGATAATCATAACAATACATAGGAATTCAGTCTAATAGTTTGTCTCACATTTAACAATAAGAGTACGACGTTTGGACATAGCCAATACAAAAAAATATGCCATTATTAGCTTACATCAATTGTCTCAATGATAAAAGAAATAATAATGGTTGTAAACGTAAACAACATCATAGCTAGAGTGGAACATGGCAACATCCCCGGATATAAGGATTCACCAATGACTTCGGAAAATATCCAAGTCTTTCTTTAAATCGACCAAGAACTTCTCAATGTCCCAAACCTAAAAAGTTTGGGAAAAAGGGAAGAAATTTAGTTTGGAACAAATCACATATACTAGTATGGCTTCTATACACAAAATCATCAATACATGATTGTCACGACCCAAACCGGGTTGCGACTGGCACCCATACTTACCCTCCTATGTGAGCGAACCAACCAATCTAACCTTAACATTTCAATGTAATAAAAACAGAAAGTAATGCGGACGACTTAACTCTTTAATAAAAACCAATTCAATAACTATCAATATTCAACATCTATTATTCCCAAAACCTGGAAGTCATCACCACAAGAACATCTACAATCAAATGACTAAACTAAGAGTATTCTAAAAGCTAAAAATACATAAGAAGCTAGTCCGTGCCGGAGGTTCAAGGCATCAAGACATGAAGGAGGAGATCCAGTCCAAGCAAGAAGCCGTTAGCTCACCCTGAAGATCCGGTGTGACGAAGACTGGCTTGAATTACTGTTGAGTCGAAGATGACGGCACGATTGTTGCATTCCACAATTAAACAAGAAGAAAACAACAAAAGTAGGGGTCAGTACAAAGCACGGGTACTGAGTAGATATCATCGGCCAACTCAAAATAGAAAACAGTATATATCAAGTAATATCATAAAATCAACTATGATACTCAACATGTAGCAACAACAAGCACTATATCATTAACAATTACAGTCAAGTTCACACATGAGGACTCAAGCCCCAATACCATACTCATTTGGGAATCATGCTCGTTAGATTGAGTATATTAACATCTTTCAAGATTCATTATCTTTATTTCTCTTGTGTCGGTACGTGACACTCCGCTCCCTCATATTCATTATTCCTCTTGTGTCGGTACGTGACACTCCGATCCCTCATATTCATTATTCCTCTTGTGTCGGTACGTGACACTCCGATCCCCTAAATCTACGTGTCGGTTCGTGACACCCGATCCCCTAATTCTACGTGTCGGTTCATGACACCTGATCCCCTAATTCTACGTGTCGGTTCGTGACACCCGATCCCCTAATTCTACGTGTCGGTTCGTGACACCCGATCTCCTAATTCTACGTGTCGGTTCGTGACACCCGATCCCCTAATTCTACGTGTCGGTTCGTGACACCCGATCCCCTACATGTGTCGGTACGTGACACTCCGATCCACTAATATCATTCTGTAAATCATCAAGCCTTCTCTATACCAAGGCATCCTCAATCCCATTACTTTAATTCATCAAGCCTTCTTCTATACCAAGGCATCATCAATCCCATTACTTTAATTCATCAAGCCTTCTTCTATACCAAGGCATCATCATTAATAATGTATATTAAAGTTTCTTTTCAAGATTTGGGATTCAATATTTTCATCATGCTTATCTTATCACAATCACATAATCATATTCATGCAAACATACAATTAAGCATATAGTAGGGTTTACAATACTACCAATACATATCATTCTCTATTAAGAGTTTACTATGAAAGCATGAAATAACCCTAACCTACCTCCACCGAAGAATTGCGATCAAGTAAGTTAATCTCAAAGCTTGGTGTTTTCCTCTTCTTCTCGATCGTTACCCTCTCAATTCGTTTTTCCTTCCTTCTCTTTGTTCTTTCTAGTTTTCTTATTCAAACCCTCTTTCTTTTACCCTAATTATTATATAATTAAGAATAAAAGATGGCAATAATACCCCACTAATTAACTTAGGGTTACCTCTTTTAACCCCCAAGAATTTGAGTTATTAATATAAACCCACGAAATCTATAATTAAGGAAAGAATAGTCCCAAAACGTCCCTTAAAACTTCACCAGAAATCCGACTCTGCCTGGGATTTGCGCAACCTGTGACGGGCCGTCGTGCCTACGACGGTCCGTCCTGCAGGTCGTCGCAAGGTTCAGAGACCCAATATTTCCAGCAAGGGTCTGTGACGGTCCGTCACACCTGTGACGGTCCGTCCTGCCATTCCATCACGAAGTTCAGAGAGTCGTTCCCTGTACCAAATTCTCAAGAGTTGAAGTGTTTTGAAACGGTGGATCACGACGGGCCGTCATGCCTGCGACGGTCCGTCCTGCGTGTCCGTCACAGAGTTCAGAGAGTCGATTTCAGCACCCAAATTTCAGAATTTCTAAGTGTTTTGGGACGAGACACCCTCGACGGTCCGTCGTGCCCATGACGTTCCGTAGTGGGGTCCGTCGCTTCTGCCAGTTATTCCAGAATTGAAGTCTGTTGCTCCAAACGACTAAATGGGTCGTTACATTAGATACCAATTTACCCATCGTTCGTCCCCGAACGATCAAAATAAAGAAAACAAGGGCGAAAAGGAGTACCTAAATCTGTAAACAGATGTGGGTATTTTTCTCGCATATCCGCCTCCTTCTCCCAAGTGGCTTCTTCAATCGGTCGATTCTTCCATTGCACCTTGATGGATGCAATCTCTCTTGACCTCAACTTGCGAACTTCTATATCTAAAATAGCAACAGGCTCCTCCTCATAAGACAAGTTCTCATCAAGCAAAACTGAATCCCAACGGATAATGTGATTTCCATCCCCATGATATCTTTTCAACATAGACACATGGAATACCGGATGTACTCCGGACAGCCCTGGAAGCAAGGCTAACTCATAAGCCACCTCTCCTACTCGCTTAAGTACTTCAAATGGTCCAATGTACCTTGGACTTAGTTTACCCCTTTTTCCAAACCGCATCACCCCTTTCATGGGCGAAACTTTCAACAAGACTTGTTCACCTTCCATGAACTCTAAGTCTCTAACCTTTCGATCTACATATTCATTTTGTCTACTTTGCGCCGCTAGAAGCTTTTCTTGAATAGACTTCACTTTTTCCATCGAATCCCTCAAAAGGTCAGTACCCCAAGGCCTAACCTCAAATGCGTCAAACCAACCAATGGGAGACCTACATCTCCTACCATACAATGCTTCGAATGGAGCCATGTCAATGCTTGAGTGATAGCTATTATTGTATGAAAACTCTGCTAAGGGTAGGAAGCTATCCCAATGACCACCAAATTCTATCACACACGCACGAAGCATATCCTCTAACACTTGAATCGTTCGCTCAGACTGACCATCGGTCTGAGGATGGAACGCGATACTAAGGTCCAACCTAGTACCCAATTCTGCATGCAATGTTTTCCAAAACTTAGAAGTAAACTGCGTACCTCTATCTGATATGATGGAGAGTGGAACCCCATGCAACCGAACAATTTCTGAGACATAGATTTTGGCTAACTTCTCTGCATTGTAAGTCACCTTGACGGGAATGAGATGAGCAGACTTAGTTAACCTACCAACAATCACCCAAATAGACTCATACTTACCCATTGTCTTTGGAAGACCAGCAACAAAATCCATTGCAATCCTTTTCCACTTCCATTCCGGAATGGGCATTCTCTGAAGTGTTCCTCCGGGCCTTTGGTGTTCATACTTTACTTGTTGACAGTTTGGACATTTGGCAATAAAATCCACAATGTCACGCTTTATTCTACTCCACCAAAAGTATTGTTTTAGGTCACGATACATCTTAGTTGAACCTGGATGTATAGAATACCTTGAACTATGAGCCTCTGTCAGAATAGTGTTGATCAAATCATCGACGCGGGGTACACATACCCTTCCCTTGATTCACAAAACACCTTCCTCATCGATTTGTGCTTCCTTAGCCTCCCCTTGCATTACTTTATCTCGGATTTGCCTTAGTTTCTCATCATCAAATTGTTTTCCCTTAATTTTACTCCACACTAGCCAACAATCCTCCCTTCTCATTTACTTCTAATCTCATCAAGTCGTTAGCTAGAGTCTGAACCTCTCTAGCTAATGGGCGTCTAGAGGCTTGCAAGTGAGCTAGACTTCCCATGCTTCCCGCTTTTCTACTTAAAGCATCCGCCACAACATTCGCCTTTCCCGGATGATACAAGATAGTGATATCGTAGTCCTTTAGTAGCTCCATCCATCTCCTCTGTCTCAAGTTCAAATCTTTCTGAGT